CCTCCGAGCCGACCGGACGCGGTAAGTACCGAGATATCGACAGGCTCGTTCGCGATGGCACTCGATGATTTCTCGTCGTTCGTGTACGAGGCATTCGGGAAATTTCGGTGGGAAAAAAAAACGAGCACACACAAAAAACGAGTCATCGTCGGAGCGCTGTCTCGCTCTCTCGAATCGGAGCAATTCCCTTCGGGTTAAATCTCGGAGCTGTTTCCTCCGTCGTTCGGCGAGTGCGCGAGGATGCGAATCGCGGGGATTGCGAATCCTCGCGCGAGACGTTTCTTCTCCGCGCGACGAGAATCGTGAACGAAAACGAGACCCTTGACGAAGGGAGGAAGGAGGTCGATAGCATCGCGCGCCCGCGCAATCCTGTGAGCACCGCATCCAGAAGGGCGACACGAGGAGAAAGCGCTACCAGGGTGGTACTGGTTGCTCGGGGATGAGAAGAGGGTGCGTGTGCGTGGCGGAGGAAAGGAACCGAGGGAACTCTCCGCGGTGAGAGCGACGAGGACGAGTCTCTTTGGTAGGGATTTCGCCTCCACGAAGGGCCTCCAAGGTCTCGGCCCTTGGGCTGGGGAATCGACCGGGCCGACGCCGCGCCGTGTTCGCCGGTATCGATTCGGTCGGCGGATAGATACACCGGGGCGACGCACTCGACCATCGCCGGCGCAACTGGCCGCACGCGTCGGCGTGTGCATCCAGGATTTATCCCGTTTCTCGACGAGGATTTCCATCCGTATTCCCTCTCGCTATTGTCAGTTTGCGCGTAACTAGTTGCTTCCAACTCGCCGACGCTCGATCGTTGTTCCCGTTTTTTTTTCCTCTTCCCTTCATTATCTATCCTATGATTACCGTTATTTCTTTTTGGGGTGAGCGATCGACGCCATCGAGGGTGGATCCAGACTGACCGAAGAGCGCGAACAAACGCGAACGAACGAATTTGCATTGGCGACTGTGGATGGCGCCGCGAGTACGAATGAGAGTCTGAATTTATATCGTACGTGTTTTTTTTTCTTTTTTTTTCAATACATCAAAGTTTTAAAATTCTCACTACATTCGACCATATTTATTCATAATTGTTTGTTCTTGCTCGTTTGGTCTCGCGAGAGCAATACGTGTATGGCGTATGAATTATTGAACCTGCATTCTTTCGATTTCTCCGCGCTATTCAAATGGCGAACAAACGATCGGTGCAAGGTGAAAGGTTGTAAAAGGGAGAGATAGGAAAATGAAAGACAAAAGTCAGAGAAGTCGCGGGATCGAAAGAGAACGTTCAACAAATCGTAAATTCACTTTTTTTTATCCGTGCCTTCTGAAGCTTCTTGCAATTTCTTTCTTCTTTCTTGAGTATGCACTTATTCCATTTCAAAAAGAATGCGATTCGATATAGCAAAAGATGGATAAGAGAAAGATCTAATATTCAGAAGAAGGAACGTCACTTTTCAGTTGATATTCAATATTTTATAATTTAGATATTGATTGATGTATGTATAATATGAAATAAATAAATATTGACATTTTCGGCAATTGGATGGGATTTTATATTTAATAATACTTTTATGAATTGTATATATTATTCAATAAAGCGATTCAATAAAGCGATGTTACATTTTCAATTTTGATATATGAAAAGAATAATTTTAATAATAATTTTGCTGAAATATCTTCGAATTTGGCCAGATAGAGATTTGAAAATAATTTTAAACCGTCGAATAATTACATGAAAGAATTAAACATAATAATATCGCACGAACTAGGCAATGGATGAAATTGACAAAAATTATTATAATGTATGAATAATCAAACGAAAAGCTGAGAGTGCATTTAATTAGCACGTAATAATTTTTATATATTTAATACATTTTACTGTCCCATATATATAAATCCAAGACTCGGACATTCGTTATTTTAATTAGGCTTTTATTTGATTATTTATTCGTATATTATTTCAATATTGAAAATTCTCTCTTGAACACCTACCTGCTATTGAAAAGTATTATTAAACTTGAGATTTCGTTCGATGGCGGAAGGTATCGGATCTAACGTTTCTGACTGACAGGCGGCGATTTGTCATCGATTGTCGGCGTTTAGCGTCACGCAATTCGGCCGTTTTCTCTTTTTCTTTTTTCTTTTTTTTTTTTTTTTTTTTTTTTTTTTTTTTTTTCGAACGAGCTCGAATCTCGTCGTATTGAATACGACGTGTCGTACCGTGGCGAATGCACGGCCGACGCGTGCTCGATGGGAACGAAACGGAAACGAAACGCAACACACGTTCGACGTCCGCGCGCCGGACTGGAGCGCGCGTTTCCACGGTCATCGGACACTCATTGTCGTTCGGGACGAAAGACGGAAAGGGGAAGGAATCGACCGGGACGCGAGAGAAGAGAGAGAGGGGGGGGGAAGGGCGGTGAGACGTGCGAGAGCGAATTTCGATGTTATCGATCGCAACACGCCGTTCGTTAATATCGCCATTCAATCGCCGAGTATTATTGACGTGACGTAGATCGACGGGACGGAATACTTTTCGTCGCCTTTATTATCTTTCGGATTGTCATTTTTATCGTGTCACTGTGAAATATTCTATCCGCTCATGATCGCTTATTGTTGGACGCTGTCACATGAGAGAGATACACCGAACGATCTAACGTTACGTGGAAAATTCGTTCGGGATGCACGTTCTCTCGAGCGCATTTTTACATTATCGTGAAATATGCATATATAATTATAATATATATAAAATAATGAAATATATATTTTATAAATGTATATGTATATTTATAAAAAATATATATATATATTTTTTTTAAAGAATTTCCCTTTCTCTCTCTTTCTTTCTTTCTCTCGATTGTCTTCGGAGAAAATGAAATTTTCTTACGACGACAATACCGCGTAGCGGGAATGCTGGCGTACGCAATCTCGCTTGCTCGACGTTTCTCATGTCTCGTCGCTTCGCATTCCGCGAACATCACGTAACCGGAAGCGTGGGCTATTCCACCGTTTCCTCCTCAATCATCCGCTCGTCGTGGCCGCTCTTTGTCGCACACGGGGAAACCACGGGGACTGCCAGCCGTCCGTCCGTCCGTCCGTCCGTTTACTCAATTTAACAACGCGATGCAGTTTTATCGCGCGCCCTTGAAGAAGTATCTCCGGCGTGAAATTAAAACGGCGAGCCCGCGCACGGTTTCCGCGGCCTGTTACCACACGCGTCAAAACGCGCGGAAGACACGCGCGAGATGTGAGAGATACAAAGCGCGTCGGGCGTGCGGAGCGAAGGAGAGACGCGCTCCTCTATTTTCGTGCTAGGTAACGGGAAAGGGGATGAAGCTGTTCTAGAAATAGAACGGAGCAACGTTAACCCGCGCCACCCACGCTGATCCTTCACGGAGGAGGAATCTCGCGTCGTCTCGCGAATCACCCGCGCCTCGCTCTCTATCTTTCTCTCCGATGCGGTTTAGTCCCACGGAGAGCGATCTCTCCTAATCCCCTTTCCTTTTTCCTCCACCCCTCTCTCTGTCTCTCTCGATTTTGACTTCCGTTGAAATCTGAAATTTGCGCGCATTTGCATTTGATGTTCGAGGACGCTGCCTAGATTGCTGAATCCCGCGCGTCGCTTATGGCAGTTACCGCGAGAGGCGGAGGCGAGAGGAGATCGCTCCCCCTCACGTCTCTCGCGGCTGGGTTAAATTAAAATTTAATGAACCACGGGACCTTTCACGTCACAGAGATCCTGTCACGTCGCAGGAGGACGCGTTTACGTATGCGCGTGCCTTTAATCACGTTAGCTCGCGCTCCGTGACGCCAAGACGGCGGTGTCAACGACCCCCGTGCCGGGGTTGCGTCTCGCCAGGCGATCCTGCCCGCTTCACGTCTCACGACGACACGTCGTCCTCCCCTATCGAACTCGATATCGATCCACCGAGTCACGTCGCCTTTCTGCCTTCCAGAAGGAACAGAGCGACAACAAACAGAGGACGTCGGCGAGCTCGACTTACAACACCTTCGACGACCTGTACTTGGATGATCAGGATGCCTTAGAAGGCTCCGGCCGAGGTGGCAGCGACAATCGCGACGACCTTGAAGCCTCGGGCAGCGGCCTTGGTCCTGACGACGAGGACGGGGACGACGACCATGGTATGACACCCGATATTATCTGTCACCAGACAGACGATCTTGATCGACGAATTTCATTATCTGCTTTTAGCAAAGGAAAGATTAAATATTCGATGTAATTTTTATACAACGCGTCCGGTCCGTCTGTTTCCTCGCGACAATTCTATCTCGATGTGTATACGTTTATAAATACCGGAGGAGATTTTTCTTGTGAATTCTTTGTACGGCGCTCGATTGGTTGAAAAGTGCCAATTGCAAAACTGAACGCGCTAGTAAAAATATCATGCGCGTCACAAAGGCGGTTTGTGCCGGAAGAATTTTTCAAAAATTGAAAAACGGACGATATCGGAGCGCGTTCGCCGATCGCCGTGATTGG